TTATTGTCTTTGTTCAAATTTAAATGCACAATCAGGAGGCCAAACTTCATGCTGAAATAAATGAGAAAACCCACTTAAAACTGATAGTACAATAAAGAATTTTCAAAGTTGTTTACAGTAGGACTTTTCCTAAGTTTTATTTGCTTTCTTGTTGGATTTAGTCATATTCAATTTGACATGGTGACACTGGATGATAAATATCCCACACATGTAAGGAATTTCTCAAAAATGAGGCTAATATGGATGAAATAATGCTAATATTGAATTATAAATGGAAAAATACTAAGGAACTAAAGCAAGGTGTTTTATCACTCCAAGTTGCTATTTTTGAAATCTTAAAATGGGTTCTTGGCCTAGGAAAAAGTTTCTTTCAGTTTACTCACACAGTAAATAAAATATTCAAGCCTAGAAAGGAACAAACATTAAAAAGGAGGATTCTTGCTCAGAATAAAAGCTGTTTAGAGAGCACATATAAAACTCACATGGGAACTCACATATAGTACTCACATGGGAATCACAGTGTACCACTGAACTGCAAGGGAAAATATTCAGAGTTTATGAAGTTTCTGAAAACAGGAGAGAAAAGGTAATTGTTTCTTTCTGAAAAAAAATTTAAAGAGGAAAAAAAGAAGTTGCACATAGATATCTTTTCACAAGCTCATGCAGTAAAAAAAAGGAGGAATGAAGCTAACAAAAGCCACTGACTTACTTTATATTTCATAAGAGATTGTCTTAGGATATTAATCTGTGAGGGAGAATTTACATTCTGCTATGCACCTATAGAACTTGAAGAAGCTCTATAAAATTTTGAGCTCACTGGGAAAGAAAGATGTTAGCTATACCCCTGTGCTTAGCATTTCTTCCAAGGTAGGTAAAGACTACTTTTTCTTAGATCACTCTTCTGAAGTGCTATAAATTTTCCAATGTACTGTAGCAGTAACCTTTGAAATCCCACTTTTAGACCATTCTGGCATCATAAGCTTCCAGTCCCTGTCTTGTGTTCATTTTGACTGCCATCGTCTTGAAAATCTTCTTGCCACCCTTTCCAAAACAGTATATTCCAAGCAGTTTATGAAGGAAATCCTCAAGACTTAACACATGAGATAACCATCTCAAATTTTTCCAGTCTCAAAGAGTACACAGCCAAAATTACCAAGGCCTCACTTTCCCACCTGTAATGTGGACATAATAGTATCCCTTTAGATGTGTACTGAAAAGATAAATAAATTATAACAGTAACATAGCTCAGATGTGATGGCATAAGTATCACAGAACAGCCTGTGAGAAAGATTGATTAAGGAGACATTCAAATGAACTGTACTGTTGTAGTCAATTGAGTAGCAAGTTTCCTTCCCCTGGAACAGTGACCAGGCGGTCAATATTCCATCAATATCCTTTAAGCTTAGAGAGACTGGGTTTGACAGCCAGGGAAGCTGATCTATCCAACCAGCCCTGTTCTGTCCCCCCAAAGGAATACTTCATGTATTTTCTTTTAAATAATTCTCTTGAAATAAATTCCACCTGGATCAAACCTAGAAGAGCGCAAGATGTAGCAGAAGACAAAAATAACCGGCATGAAAAGAAAGAGTTTAGGCCTGGGGCATGACAGATGACATATAGGGGACATTTACTAAAGGCTGTACAGTGGAAATTCAATGTACAGACACAAAGTGACATCTCCAAGTAGCTCCTCACATTGGAGCAAGCCTCCCTTCACATTTCTAAACATAAAAACACATCTTGGCTGCCCTAAGAGTGTCTAGGATGCAGAGGAGGGATGGAAATTTTAGCTATAGTTTGCCCTAAGAGCACAGCTGAATCATGTATTAAAATAGCCCTTTTTTCCATACATATGCTTATTAATCAAATGGGAGGTTTGAGGGTTTGGGGACTTTTTTCCCTTTTGTTTCTTTGCTTTTCAAGAGGATAGAAGCTGCTTTTCTATTTCATCCCTGCTGCTGTAGCAATCCTGTGAGTTCTGCTCCAACCCTTTTTCTGCTGCCCAATGGCAATTTAATTTGTAATGAAAACATTGCAACTCAGACTACACTACCTATTAGCACATCGATTATTTTTCACCAAACAATTACAAGAAAATCAAAATCCCATCTCTTTCTCTGTTTTTTGAGCTAGTTTTTGACTGGGTTTTTTTTTCCCCTATGTTCATCTTTTATTTGTGTTTCTAAATGAGTTGAAGTGCAGGCCAGGATATCCATAAAAATTGTACAGCTTCACCAAAACGTTTTATGTAGAAATATTGGTATATTCTTATGTATATATGTTGGTAAGAGTCTACTGATGCACATACACTTAATACCTCATTATACAGGCTCCCATTTAGGGAAAGTCTATGAACCACACCCATATAAATCTCTTTATAAAACTAAGAGAAGTTACATAGTGAATGGTGACAGATGCTGAAGGAAAGGTCTGGATTCCAGGAAGTAGGTGACATAAAAAATTCATGCATGCTTTCTGAGATGACACCACCAAGTAGCCAAAGAAATAAAAAGGAAGAATGGGAAGGGCTGGCAACAGCCTGGAGGCACAAAGGAATACACTTCGTGTTTGCAGGTTCTCTGCAGCTGTGGACTAATCAGGACAAAGCTCTTATGCTGAACAAATGATGCAAACCACTCAAGGCTAAGCAATTAAAGCCTGATGTTCACAGCTCAGTTCATTTAATGAAGGACTGAAAGTATTAATGTTGCTGAATATTTGTATGCAGGTACAGGAATAAGGTGGTGAGCATAGATTTGCTTGAGTTATCTTGTTTGAAAGTGAATTGGTAGCACATAAAATAACAACTGGAAGTGAGGCTACTCTAATGACCAATAATGAATGGGCAGGAAGAGTCTATAACATTCCTAGTGGCCTGCAGCCTTTAGGAGGAACATAGGAGTCTTGAAGATCTATCAAAGTCAGAGATTTGGAAGAACATTATAATTCTAGAGGATGGGATAAAACACCCAACTAAAACCAAAACAGTTATCTTGTTATAATGCTGTACTTGCTAGATTAATTCACTCTCAGTGATGAATTGCCCCTTCAAATACCTAATTATAGCATTACATATAATCAATAAGGAGAGAGTATGGTGAGTGTAATGCACAAGAAGTGTTGGGATTGAAATGGTTTTTGTTTATTTGCTTTAAGGTTTAGACCATTCTACTTGTTTGAAGAACTGCCAGTTTTTATTGTAATGAAAATTAGTGGCAATTTAAAAAATGTTAAATTGGTTCTAGTTCTCATTTTGTTTGTGGGGTTTTTTTAATTTGCTTATTTGGGGGTTTGTGTTTGGTTTTTTCTATTTTTGTTTGTTTGTTGTTCTTGGAAACTTAGCCTATCAAATAACCTCACTTGGTCAAGAAAATCAGCTGTTGAGAAAATCATTCCTGTATGGCAATGGTTTCCTAAACGTACCCCCAATTTTACATTCCCTTGACAAATTTTCTTAGCTTACAAATGGTAGTGAGAATCTAGGAAATGGGACCAAATATTCTCACATCACTAGCTTTGACTGTCTGTGCCTCTCAGGTTCATAATGCTTTATCCTACATGTAGACCTCAAATTCTCTTAAGACTATTAATCCCTCCTATGTCTGGAAGAGAAGTTGTGGATGCCTCAGCCCTGCAAGTGCTCAAGGCCAAGTTTGATGGAGCTCTGAGCAACCTGGTCTAGTGAAAGTTGTCCCTGCCATAGCAGTGTGGCTGGAATTAGATGATCTTGAAGGTCCCTTCCAACCCAGGACATTTTATGATTCCGCTCCCTTTGCTGCCAGCTGCGTCTGAAAAACCTGTATTCTCTGAAGTCTTGGTCTTCAGAGCTTGGAGAGATAGGAATTTTCTCAAGAACTACAATGAGCAACACTCATCCCTGTCATTTGTCCCTCATATGATTTATTACACTACTTCCTCTACAGCCATAATTTCCTTGCTTGGAATTTGAACAGCTGAGCTGGCACAGGTCGTTGCTATGAAAATTTCAGTGCCCAGGATCCAGCGGGCACCAGGCTGAAAAATCTGACTGTGAAATCCATCCCTGGATGACCCCAGATCCGTGTGTGCTACCACACATAGGGAGTACACCCAGGGCTGAGTTCTGCTTGACTACGTGGAGGTAAATTTAGGTGAAACAAAATTACACAAAAATCAAAATCAAGAATTACAGAACAGGTCATGTAGGGAAGGCCCACAGTGGGTCATCTGATCCAACCTCCCTGCTCAAGCAGGGTAATCCAGAGCACAGCGCACATGTCTCCGGAGGGCTCCTGATTATTTCCACTGAGGGAGACTCCACATCCCTCTGGGCAACCTGTTCCAGTGCACGGTCACTGCACAGTGAACAAGTTCTTCCTCATGTTCAGGCGAAACTTTCTGTGCATCTGCTTCCCTCGTCCTCTTGTCCTTTTTCTCGGCACCACGGAGAAGAGCCTGATCTTCTTGGGACCCCTCCCTAGATATTTATATACACCCTCTCAGTCGTCTCTTCTTGAAGCTAAACAAGCCCAACTCTCTCAGCCTTTCCTCGTAAGAGCAATGCTCCAATCCCCCAAAGAGGACGGAGACCTCGCCGTTCGGGCAGAGGCAGCTCCCACTGGGAGCTCGAAGCAAGATCTGGCTGCGGGTCACCCCAGGAGGGGCCGGGGCAAGGCTGAGGCCCTGGGCCACACGTCCCAAGCCGCTCTCGGGGCGCTCAGCGGCGCAGCCGGGCCGGGCCGTGCCTGCGCAGGACGGGCGGGCGCTCCCGCCCCCGGCCCTGCGGCTCGGCCGGGCCGCGGCTCCGGCGCGGCAGAGGGCGCTGCGCGGGCGGGCGCGGGCCTGGGCGCGCCGCTCCCGGCGGCGGCGGCGCAATTCCCGTTCCTGTGGCTGTTCCCGTTCCCCTCGGGCAGGGCCGGGCGGCGGCCGCGTCTCGTCCTCGCTGCCCCCTCCTCCCCGTGCCTCGCAGTGGTCGGCGCCGGTGGCGGGGAGGGCGGGGAGGGAGCGCGGCGCCGCCGCATGCATCGCTGATGGAGCCGGGCTCGGGGCTGCCGCAGCGCAGGGCGGGGGGCGGCGGGCTGGACCTCGGGGCGGGCTCGGCGGCGGGGTCGCCGGCGCTCTCGGGGGGGCAGTCCCGCCGCAGGAAGCAGCCGCCGCGCCCGGCCGACTTCAAGCTGCAGGTGATCATCATCGGGTCGCGGGGGGTGGGCAAGACCAGCCTTATGGAGCGATTCACCGACGACACCTTCTGCGAGGCCTGCAAGTCCACCGTGGGTAAGGGAGCGTCCCGTCCCGTCCCGTCCCGTCCTGGGGGAGGCGGCGCTCCTCCCCCCGGTGCTCATGGCCCCGGCCGTGGGAACGCGGGGCTCGGCCGCCCTTCCCCGGCCCCTGTCGCGCCTTTCCCCGAGTGCGGGCCCGCTCCCCGCCTGCCAGGCATTCCCTCCAGACCCTGCCCCGCTCCGGTCCCCGTCCCCTTCCTGCCCAGGGCAGCCGGGTTGGTGTCCCCGGGTGGGTTCCTCGGCCGTGGGAAGCTCGGGGGCTTGGTTGGTGCCAGACTTCAGCAGCTCTTCTTGGAAAGATCGTGGATGTCCTAGTTACCTTTGAGAGCTGAGCTCTCCTGTTTCAGCCTTGCTAACGGCAAGCAGTTTAAAGATAAAATTGGGCATGGTTGGTGAAGCAGGTTTTTGTGCTTAAGTCTTAGAGGTTGCGTGAAAGGAGACAGAAGTATTTCAGGAGCTGAAAAGTTGCAGTGTGTATTTTGTGTACTCTTCCAGTGTATTATTCAAGTACTCTTCCAGACCGCAGTCAGATTAACTCCAGATGGCTGCTATGGCTTCGTGAAGAACCCCCCTGTGATGTTAGATCCGAGGTTAATGTTTTGTTTCTCGAGAACGCTGCGTGTTTGGCTCTTTATGCAGCTAGCTAGAGAGCAAGCTCCTAGTTCTGTAGTGTACTGCCTTATTCATGATTTAGTCATCTGTGCATCTCTGAGGTAATTTAATGCCTGCTGTCTTTTAATACACAAGTGTGTAAAGGGAGGAAAACAAGCTCGTTATTCTGCGTTGTTATTAGAGTCCTATCCTTGGAGTTGAACTCTTGAGTATTGCAGCAAGGTGGTTGTTATAGTCTGTGTCACTGGAAAATATGTATGCTTAGCTTAATTGTAGCTTAGAATGTGAGGGAATTTAGGCATCTGATGAAAAGTGATTGTATTGACTTTTAGAAGCTAAGTTATTACTATCCAAAATTATCTTCCTGTAAACAAAGTGATGCACAGTTACTCATACTTTTGTTTTATTGTGTGTTTTACCAGTTAATTAATTCTTTCCTGGGCTTAGAATCCAGATCTGGTAGTGCAGATTAGCACTGTTATGTTGATAAGTTTTTTGGTTTGAAGTTGGCAACTTAACCTTGTACAAGTTGGAAAGACAGTTTCAGAGGCATTAGTACTCAAGGGATGTGTTGTAATGAAGAAATGTTGGTGGCTTGTCTAGATTAACAGATTAATTGAATTTGTGGTACAGCTAAAGTACAATTAATAGAGGAATGTATTCTTTATAAATTCTCCAGGTCTAGACATTGATGTTAACTCTCTTGCATCTTGTTTAGGTTGACCCACATTAAGGGTTCGGTCAGGTCTGGGCTGCTCTCTGTAACTGGTGTTAGTTTCCTGCTGTGAATCTTGGGAAGTGAGGGGAGGTGGTCTAGACCCTGGTCCAGACTTCCAGGCTGGTGGCTTTTCAAGAAAACAGATTTCCTGAATAACTGAGACAGTGATTTAAGCAGAGAAGCTTCCTTATTTTAGGGAAGAAACAGGAAATAAGTAGTGATATGCTGCTAGACAGAAGGTTACGTAATGTTTGTTGTACAAAATGTGCCAACATAAAGCAGCATAGGGAAATCAACTTGTGCCAAAATACATGTAGAAGGACTTGATAGTAATGGCATTCTTTCAAGGTCCTCAGACTAAACTTGAGAGCTGTTGAGATTCCCCCAGATCTTTTGACTGCTAAATGAAGGAGCTTTTCACAGTCAGCACACACTCTGATTTTTTTTTTTTCACTAACAAGTAAGAAAAAGTAACCTCTGCTATTCACGTTTCATATAGATTGAAAATAACCCACACTCCAAAACAACCTGAGTTCAGCCTCTAATACACAGCTGAAAACATAAAGCTCTTACTTTGTCACCACTTAACTGCAGTGGTTTTCAAGAATTTGCACGTGGGAGAATGTGTTTTGAGACATCAGTGAAAATGCTGTGACTGATCCAGTTACATAAACTGAAGATACCTTGAGATTCAATTTGAAAAGGCCACATAACCAAACAAAAAACTGCATTTAGTTGTATGTACCTTATATTAGCAAAGCTGTAGTTAAAATAGAATGCTAGAATACATATTTACTTCCTTATCTTGGTATTTATGGTCTCAGCCTAACTTTCATCCTTTTATACTAAAACCTGTGGATATATAGGACCAAAAGAACAACATTTAGCACCTTAAGATTTTGTATGAAAGCAGAGGCTACTCAGAGGACTTCCTCCAAGACTGGCAGAATTGCAAATGTCCAAAGACCTTTTCTGTCTTCTGCCCCTAAGTGCTGATAATAGTGCCATGTTATTGAACAGTGGAACATTTCTGCAGAAAAGGGAAGGTTTGGATTAAATTAAGAAAGATACAGTATTTAAATGCTAATTTAAGAAGACTGCATTGCCTGATTGGTAAAGAAAAATCTGTAATGAAAACACATCAACATGTCTTCAGTCTCAGCTCAGATATGGAACTTCTTTGAAAGTGTTCAAAAATAGCTTGGCAGATTTCAGCACATTATTCATAACAGCACACAATGTGCTGTTGATCTAAAATTCTTTTGATGTATTTATTTTGGGCATTATATTAGTTGCACAGAATATTGTGTCTCCTTAAATCTGCTATTTACATAGCACTGAGAATACCCAATATGCTCAAATATTTACTGATTTTTGAAGAAGTTAAAATTACTCTCGCCATGCAAGTGTCAAATCCCCTGTCTTTCTATAATGGGATAATAACTTGTTCAGGGGTAATATTGGGATCATATTAGCTTTGTCAACAAACATAAATCTACACTTCTTTTTTTGAAGTAAAATTTCATCTTCATTTATTGTTTGTTGCCTGCATTATTCACACAGGAGCAGAATCCAAAGCTATCACTTGAAGGTTTTCCAGAATTGACAATTCAAAAAATATGCACCAAATATGGTGCGAAGAAGAATGATCTTTCCAAGGGTAGTGGATAAATACTCATTGCCACATCTGTAAGAAGATTCAAGCGTGGTGGTGAAGAAACACTGTTTGCCTCTGCTTCTTCCACCCCTTTATCCCACCTCAGCTAGTTCTTATCCTAAAAGAAATAGATCCTAATTCAGATCTCCATAGTCATGATGTTAAAATTATATTTTAATATAAATACTTTTAAAGGGACTCGTTTTCATCAGAGTCCCTTTATTAAATATTCAATGGCCTTTGTTCTTTTCCCAGCATCTGTCCAGCTGCTGCTCAGTCTCCTGGTTCTAATCCGCCAATTCTTAGTTCATTCCCAGTCTCCCTGCTGTTCTTCTTCCATGACAGATCTACAGAATTCCTGTACTCAGCAGTATTTCCTGTCAATCTAATTCTTCTGCAGACATTACACTTCTCTCTTGGTTTTATTGTCTGAGCCTGAGGCTCCTGCTCTCCCAAAGGTGGGGCCCTGCACTGACTCACCTCTTAGGATGCTGGTTGTCCTGGTCCCTCAATCAAGTTGGGCTCCTCAGCTTTTCTTTTACATGCTGGCTCAGTATGTGAAGTCTCTTGACACCTTGTCTTATCTTTCAGTTCTTTTCCAACAGGTCTGAAATCATCCCAGGAAAGAAGCCTTGCCCTGGATAATGACAGTGCAGTTTATGTGCCTTGTGCATTGCTGGCTGTTTTAGCAGCTGTTCATAGGAAAGCAAAGTATCACATGTAGTAAACACTAAAGCTTCTTTCTGTCCTAGTTTACAAGCAAAATAATAGTGGAGTTTGTAATGGGAAGGGTTGTTGTGGCTCAGGATGGGAATTTAGTGACCTGTGATCTCTTCTGAGCCTGAGGGATCCAGATAAGTGGCATGTAAATGCATTGTGGTGCAAGAGTCCTTTGACTTCACAGAAATGCTCTTTGACCTTGTTTCACCTTCATGTGAAATGGTATGGAAGTCAGAAACTCCTGAGATTTACAGAGGTCCATAGCTTTCCCTTCCAAGTGCTATTTTCCCTATCATTTATTTTTAAAATACCCATGTCCGTGCAAGATTCATGGTGTCCATCAAATAAACAATAGCAATAGTGAAAACTTTAGCTTTGTCTTCTATCAGAATGTCTTAAGTCAGGCAACTTCTGTCTTTAGTATATAGACATTTATATATGGAATATAAATATATACATATATACCTTTTTATATGTATGTATGCATATGTTTGGGGTTTCTGTCACAATTCAAACCTGTATTCATTCTCTTTATCCTTAAAAAATGGGGGCTAACAACATAAATGTTCAGTTTCATTCCCATAAGCTTGTCATATAACGTAATGATTTTTTCACTTAAAAGTATCAGACTACTCACTTTTGAGGTATCTGTCATTTTTCAGAACTACCCACTAAGTTACTCCTCTGTCTTTTTAGTTATCTAATCAGTATTCTCACACACACTGTAAGCATAGTATGTGGCTTACTAATAATTTGATTGGATTTTTTTTAGTAAATCAAAAATATGGCTTAAAAATAAATTTAGTAATTTGATGTAATCTGAGATGAAGAACAATCTATATAAAATTTTCAGAAAATCATCCTGAGTCAACTATAAGAGCATTTCTTTCTTTAATTAACTTGTGTGTGCATGTGGGCTCTCTGACAAGTATAATTCATTTTAATTTTTCTTTAAACATTTCCCCCCTTCAGTAGAATGTCACTGAAAGCTTACTTGGTGTGGGGAGAAGGGAGAAAGAGTAGAAATAGATGTTTCTTAGTTTACCACATTATGACAAAGTAACAGTAAGATGTTCTTGCTTTAATCAAGAAATAGCTCCTAAAGTGAGAAATTTATGCTATTATATTAAAAAAAGGAAGTTTTGATGAGGGATAAGTAATTCTGTGAGAATTGACTCTTCTTACTTTTGCATATTGAGGGTGTTAATACATCTGGGTTTATGTATTGGCTTTTTGACTAGTGCAGAATAGTGTAAATAAACCATACCAATACCTTATTAATGGTGTG